CCTGGCATCTCATTCCTGTTGGGCTCCAGGGAATAAGAATAGAATTCTAAAATAGAGGAGCAAGTTGTAATAGGCAGGAGAGAACATAAAGAAAACAAAGATATTGGAAAAGTAGCCATTAAAAAGGCTGAGTGCTTAAAAAAAAATTCTGACCAAAACAAGCAATTGCTTTGACTGAGTAACTCTGACAATCATACTAAAACAAATGACAGAATATCCAGCAATCGCTGGACCATCAATAGACCATTAATCAATCCAAAAGGGAGATTCTAGGCCCAGAATGAATTTACCAACATTCAACTGAGGAGACAATATAGATGGTTGGGCACAAAGGCTCCATCCTGGTACCTGGCATCAATCCAAGTGATTCTTCTAGTAAAAATGGATCATCCCTGGGATCCCACATTGAACATCTAACACAGCTTAGATGTAAAACACAACTCTCATCCCAAAGAGAATTAGAATTTATTCTGAGCCAAATATAAGTGGATATATGACACAGATTCACGTTGCCTGAGTAACATATGCCAATGTGGAAGAAATTGTATGAACTTTTATAATCAGAAAACAAAAGAAAGTCATAAATCAAGGAATTAATCAAGTTTATTGATGAGGACATCAGGTTACAGCTAAGCTATAGGTTTCTGATATTATTTAATAACATTCTCAGCTTTGAGGTTGGTGGAGAGAAGGGTTCTACTAAGTTAATGCAGTCCAAGGGTTTCAACTAGCTAGGCATGCAAGCACATACCTTTAATCTCAGTACTCAGGAAACAGAGGCAGGTGGATCTCTGTGAGATGGAGGCCAGCCTGGTCTAGATAGCAAGTTCCAGGCCAGCTGAGGCTACAGGGAGACCTTGTCTCAAAAAAAAAAAAAAGCAAAAACCGAGGATTTCTTTCACCTGAAAGGATATTAGTCAAATAGCAAAGGTAGGCTCTAAATGACTTATTTTTTTGTTATTTTTAATTTATGGGTATGAATGTATTGCCTGCATGTGTGGAAGTGCACCTGTGTAGTGCAATGCCCACAGAGGTCAGAAGATGGCGTGGAACTAGAGTTACAGTTGTTAGTCACCATGTAGGTACTGGATCTTCTACAAAAACTGCCAGTGTTCTTAACCACTGAGACACCTCTCCAGCCCCCTAAATGACTTACTAAGAAAAAGAAAGATAACCCAAGATGCTTTTGGCTCTGGTTCAATTCCAGCTTCTCATAATCACAAAAGTCTAGTCAGTCAATCAGCTCTGTAAAATCTTCAGCCTGGATATGGCTTTTTCCTGGGCACTTCAGTTTACAGAACCAAAGTAATCTAAGTGTAAAAGTAATAAGCTGATTTAGTTAAAAACATTATCATGAACTAGGTGTGGTAGCACACATTTGTACCTCTAGTTACTTGGGAGACTGAAGTTCTCTCGGAAACTGGTGAATTGGCCAAACAAAATAATTGAAGTTTAAAATATAAAAGTTAAGCCAGTCATGGTGACTCATGGCTGTAATTCCAGCACTCAGTAGACTGAGGAAGGAAGTTTGCCATGAGTTCATGGTGAGCCTGGGTACATAGTAAATTCCAGACCACCATGAACCACAGTGTAAGATCCTACTTCAAAAAGACCAAAGGAAAAGGGGAAAAAAAAACTATTGTTAAATAATGAGCAAAATTCAGTTTATAAGTTATTATTTATAAATATAATGTAATGTTTATTGTTAGCATTTGACCTATGAATATCAAATGTTAATATATTATGGACAAATATATAATTCTATGTAATAATATGCTATATGTTTATATTAAATAACAATATATTACATGTAAATAAAACTACATATTTATATGTTTAATTTCATATTTAAAAGGCATAATAGGAGATGCTTTCTTTTGAGTTGTTGGCCAGGGTAGCCCAAGGGACTCCCAGATAGTAACCCAGCATAGAACTGGGAAAATGAACAGCAGACCCCCATCTTATCTAAAGGAATATTGACAACTGATTGCTGCTAGATGAGGAACAGCTGAGCTTCCTAAAACAAAGACCTCTAGATAGGCTGACTAGATTCACCAGAAGGGCAAGTAGTGGGGAATGGCTGGGGTGCCAACAACACAGCAGACAGTAGCAGGGATAACAGAGTATAAGGGCTCTAGTGGGGGGAGGGAGGCTATGGGAGGGTGCCATCTGGGAAGTGGGTATATATTGAAAAAGATAGTTTGGGATGTTCTGTGTGATATACACACACACAAATAAATCAAAAACTTTTTTAAAATGAATTATATTCAAGGAGAAAGCATAAAAATTTACGTCATGTTAATTAGTAGAGGTGATAAACATTACCACTGAAATCTACCCAATGACTTTATAGACATACACAGGTGCCAAGATCCGAGTGTAACTGATTATGACTAGTAATAATCAAATACATACAGATTAGAGACACATGCACCAACATCTCAGTGTTAGTAGCAAAAACAATGAGTCTTTCTGCAAGAAAGAGT